ACCTTGTCCTCTTGCTCTCTGGAGTTAAGCACAAAAATGAAATGATGGATGCTCAAAGCTAGATTATCATTAAAATACTTGCTATTCACAAGGTAACTTTCTGCTTGTATCAACTGTTTGATTCTCAGGAAAGGAAAAGAAACCTTAATATGAATTGTTATAAATTCTTTTGGAACATTTAATTTTAAACACAATTTGTTTTCTCAATTATATTTAGCATGTCAGTTGATGACCAGACAAGATAGCATATATTTACTCTGGGTCAAGGAAAGACAGGCTAGGGTTAAAAAAAAAAAAAAAAGTTAATTTCAGAAAGCAAATAGATCACCTGCAGTAAAGAGATTATATGGTTTGTTTCAACAGGCACTTTCATGGGTGTTTGTGTGTCCAAGTAGATACAGAAATTTTATTAAAGAAAATGCAATATGTAAATATCAATTCTCTCTGACTCCTTCAAGCGTCTGTTTCCATGTATTTTAAGTATTCTTCTATCATAATATAACTTTATCCAAGCCACTGACCTTCAAGAGTGTAAGTTATATTAGAAAATCATGAAATCTGAATTCACATTAAACCAGTTTTAGCTTCTTTTTAGAAGCATATGCCTGGAAGATTATCTACATTTAAAATATAATTGCTCACTTTTTAAATAGTTCAAAATGCTACAATATTTCCTCCAAATTAAATTCATCTTCTTGTCTCAGGAAGACAAATAGATGATAAAGAGTAAAAGAAACAACTAAAACTCAAAAAGATTTTTCATTCACATAAAATAATGAGCAATCCACACTAAGCTGATTTTTTTAATTGTTTACATTTTTGTTTGTTTTCAAAATCATCCACAAAAGTCAATATCTCAAACGTTAAAGGTGACATAAGCATACATAATCAAAATATATTTATCCACAAAGATACTGAAGATTTTTAAAAATTATTTTGAGTTAACACTATTTGAGTGGTTGCCTTAGAAATTGAAAAATATATCTATAGAGGTTGTCTTAGAAATTGAAAAATATATCTATAGAGGTTAGCAACAGGACTGCAACTTAGTTTATCCTGAATATGTATACGTACATACACGGTCTTTTGAAACTCATTAACAATAGCTGCAAAGGGAAGGTCAAATGAAAAGATCAATGTGAATGATTGAAGCAGAATTATTTTTGCTATTTCTGTGTCGATGATCTGAATATTACCCCATCTCAATTGTGTATGTCAGTTTTCATCGTAGCCCATAGCTATGTGTTTGAAAGCATACCTAAGAATGAGAATTGTTAACACCTCTGGAGAACAGTGTTTTTTTTTTTTTTTTTTTTTTTTTCCTGGGCCCTCTAAATCATATCTAACATTTAAGGGCATATTTCAATAAAATATTTAGCAATAATCCACTGTGGCTATAGAACAAATAGAATTTCTATAAATTAGAATGTTTCTGTTTCCCTTTCTATGAATTCAGGTTAGGATAAACAAAGAATGTCTTGGCTTTCTGTGTAGTCACATTTTTGTTTTTGTTGATTGAGAAATTATTAAATTAATTAAATCATTTTCTCTGCTATGGCAATAAAAAATTTTTTTAGATTGATTCTTTCTCCTTAAATTAAATCAGAAAAAAATCAAATAGATAATTATTTAATTTCCAGTTAAAGATACAGAATCCCTAGGGCTAAGTTTCTAATCTGTATACTTGAAGTTGTACCCTCCCAGCTTTTTGTTCCCATACTTTCAAAAGACATATACTTCACCATTATCAATCTAGAGTGAAGGGTATGAGGGAGACAAGTCAAACTTAGTAGGCTTCAGGATGACATTACAGAATTAGCTAGTTTGACCAGTTAGCCCTTTACTTCCTACCTTCTCAATCAATCATATTTTTCTCTGATGGTAGAGAAAAAATCAGCTCAGCTACATTTCAGTTCTAGAATTTTTCTCCATAAAAGGAAATGGCATTTTCCTTTCTGAATGGAACTCCATATGATATTAAATAACCTTTGGATTTTCATTCCATTATTCAAAATAAGAATACTAAGAATTTTGATGACCACAACCCCATGGAATAAAGAAGATAAAAAGATGTATGGACATGAAAAGAATTCCTCTTCCTACTTCAAAGAAGAGAATTTTTTCTATGTGTTTCTTCATAACAGTATACATTTCGGATCACCCACTAAACAAAAGAGAAGTCAGAATATGCCAAAAAAAAAAAAAAAATTATCCTATTACCAACTCTCTTCCAGCTATCCAACTCAACATTACATTTTACCAGTTATCACCTGTTAACAATTGTCTTACAAGCCCAACATCAGATTTTCAGGATCTGGTATGTATTATAGGAGGGAACCCTGGTGGGGATCAGCTGCTAACCGAAGGTCAGCCATTAGAACCCACCAGCTTCTCTGGAGGAGAAAGATGTGGCAGTGTGCTTCTATAAACATTACAGCCTTGCAAACCCTATGGGGCAATTCTACTGTGTCCTACAGTCGTAACAGGGTTGCTGTGAGTCAAATTGACTCAATGGCAATGGATTTTGGGGGGTATTACAGTTAAGTAAATATAGTGAAGTATATTTCCACAGAACTGCTAAGTTACGGAGGTATATTACAATCAGAAGCTCAACTTATTTGTAGAATAAATAAATAAATTCTCAATGTAAAGAAATCTAAGTAAAGCTGCAAAACTCCTTAAGAACCATAATTCAGTACACATTTGGAGGGATAGTAAACTAAACATACACGTTTGATACATTTGTATATGCAGATATGTTACTAAAACATAACAGATAAGTTAAGTTCTAGGGTGCATTCCTCAATCTATTCCATGGAACGCTGTGACCAGAGTGCTCACATGATGGATAATTACTGAGAGACATCAGGCATTGGCACCCAACGGTGTGGCAGAAACAGAAAGTGCTTTATAGAAACTCAGAGAGTATACATGAATTGAAACCTTATGGAACACAGTTTTATTCTGACACACATGAGACTGCCATGTGTCAATTCCAACCCCACAGCAACTGATACTGATGGAATCGAAAGGACCCGTCCTTTTGTTCATGGCAGATCTAAACAAGTCCTCTTAAACAACAGATACCTTGGAATATAAAGCTAAGTGAAGTTTATAGCATTAAAGATGCTCATTATTTGGATAGAGAATATGTTTCCCTCTAATTTTTATGCCTATCTCATAATGGACTTCAAAACGAATAATAAGTCCCTTCCTATGGAAAATTACAGTGTGTTCCCAAGGAGAGATGAAGAAAGATAAGAGTGGAACATGATCACTTAAGTGTATTTATCACTAAGCAGATTTGTTAGTATATGCTAAGGACATGTAGGTAGGTAGGTACATAGAGCACCTTATTTTTTTTGAGACTTAAAAAAAAAAAAAAAAACCATGTAATTGTGACTTTATATGCCTTTGAGAGACTAGCTGAAATGTTTGACATTTCAAAGCCTAGGAAGCATTCTCAAACTATGAAACTAACAAAACTATCCCCGTGAGAGGGCAGTAGGGGGCCAAGTACAGATGTGAGTCTGCTGCTCACTGTCCATCCAGTACTGGTTGATGCTGCCAGCCTTCAACTCGCCGCCTGTGCTGGAGGCAGGAATGAAGGTTCAGAGGACAGAGAGGAAGCGCTGAGCCCTGCGGCAGCAGGCTCCGCTGAGCAAACAAGGAAACCTGAGGTCTGTGGAAAAATGGGCCGCCACCTGGGCTTGACATTTGTTCCATGCCAGGCGCGTGTTTGGTAAACTGGTTTTCGGTTTTGGCTTCCCACAACCAAAGCGGAAGGGGGAGCTGCAGAGGTTCCTGGTGCCCACAGGCCTCATATTCTGGCTGCTGCAAGCTGGCCACAGCGAGTGCCAAGCGTGCGCTGCGCGCAGTGTCTTTGTATAACTGTTTGCATGTGTCTGGCTGTCACTCTATCTATCTGTGTGACAGAGAGACAGAGAGGCCCAGGGAAAGTTCCCATTTGCAGAAACGCCTCCCAAATCCGCCTTGTTGAGTTGCTGGCGCCCCTGTTGCTGCCATCTAGGACGATGTCATTGTCACCTCATCATTTTGTTTCCTTGATGATTGATTTACAATTCTACATGAGTGAGATATGCACATCTACTAGAGTTGTTTTTGCCTGTGACCTTATTTCTTTGACGGGAGAAAGTGGTTGGGGAGGAAAGGAGAACTCAAATAAGGGGAAATTACCCACCCCCCCAACTGTAAAATGTAATGATTAGGAGTCCAAAACTTGTTAAGATCCCTCTCTGCCACTTACACAAGCTTTGTGCCTTGGGCAAGACATTTTATCTCTGTGTTCCTCAGTTTCTTCCTTTGCAAAACGGGAAATTAACCCGCCTAGCTCAAACAGTAAGGAGTTCTGGTGGTGCGGTACCTAGTGCATTTGACTACTAACCAGAAAGTTGGTGGTTCAAACCCACTAGCTGTTCCCCGGAAGGAAGATGGAGCGGTCTACTTCTGTAAAGATTTACAGCCTAGGAAACCCAAAGAAGGTCACTATGAGTCCGATGGCAGTGAGGT